GTTCTAGCTTTCTGGCTGGCCTTGGTAACCGGTAAAACGTTGGACTTTTATCCCTCTTTGTTACTTTTCTGTTCTGCTGAAAGTTTAAACAAGTACTCAAGCTGCACTGTGCGCCTGACACTATCCCTCGATGCTCCGGGGAATAATAAGGTGAAGGAGGTGAGCCTCAAGTCAAGCGGCGTGAGGATCCAAAATTCAAGAGCATTCCAAATCTATTCTGAAGAGAAGACTCTCTCCATCCAGAGAAAAGCGATCCAAGGAATTGTCACAGTTCAGACGCAATCACTATTTTTAATATACAATCAGCAAGGAGAAGTGGTGCTGCTAGTGTTATAAAAGCCAGTTAATCAAAAGGGAACATACGTTTTCCAGAGGAGGCTGCATTTCACCATATAGCAAGAGGATGATGACAGACAATGCACCCTCAAAGGAGTATAAACAAGCACTATTCAGAGCCAGAGAGATATTTCTGCCATCAGTGATTTGCCAGCCTTAGATAGCATTGTGTGACGTTCCATCCCGCAAACGAAGGCGTCGCCAGTTTTATTTATATCGCAGCCCTGCCTGCATGCCCCACCTGAAACCAACACTCCATGGTGTTGGGTACCCATCGACACTATAGGGAAGATTGAGGCTGCCACGGTCAAACTTCCAGGGTTCGATTTAGAAGGTCTAGTTAAGACCCGCTAAATCGAACTCAGAGGGCGCCCTCATCGGCATCAGCACTCCTGCTCCTCAGGAGTAAAGGAAGCTGACGGGAGTGTTTTTCCCCCCTGTCGACCTCCCACTGTGTGGATGGTGATTTAAGAGACATTGACTCCAGCTATGCAATTAACGTAGCTGGAGTTGCATATCTTAGGTCAACCTTCCGTTCCAGTGTAGACCAGGCCGGAGAGAGACAATCCATGCTCTGAATCTATGATGGCAGGACAAAGGATGATCATCTTCCTTCAACAGATAGCCAGTCAAGTCAGAGAGAAAGGAATGATTTGCTATACGTCACAGAGGTAGTGGCAGATCCAGGAACGGATTCCAATCTCCTGCACCCCAAGTGACCATCCTGCCACTACCACAACACCACGGACCTGGGCAGGATTATAGTTAAAGCCCTGCGCAGACACAAAATTGCTATCAGCATCTGCACAAAATGATCTGCGGATACCGGCAGATACAAAGCGGATCGCCGTGGATTTACAAGACTAATTATTGATGTGCCGAGCCTGACAAGTCAGTCCCCTTGTTGGTCTTCGCTTAATGGTGGTGATTTGAGAACTGCTTTGCCTATCCCTTTCACTCGGAGTTTCGGCAAGGGAGGGACAAGTACTCAAGTGAAGGAGCAAACAATGCAGTTGGTAATACCATCCGTTGGTAATACCTGGGTAGGTTCCAGTCCCACCTCGCCGCAAGAGCACTCTCATGTTGATTTGTGGCTGCTTATTACCCTCACTCGCCAAACTTAGCACGCAGACTGTCCGATTTCATTTTCGGTTCACCAAGGCAGAGTCTACCAGGAAGCTTCACAGCAATCAATAAAAGCTGCAGCTCAGACAGGACTCCGGAGTAGGGGTAAGTGGGTTTAATTGGGACGGTGTCCTCCACGTCCCATCAGTGCTGCAGCCGCCGCGCCGGCTAACGTCCACGGGAAACCAAGGCTGTGACACGTGCTCGTTCAGGCAAGCACTTGTGCCATGTGACACTGAGACAAGGAGAAGATTTTAAAAGACTGATCCATAACTAGCGTGGAGAATGGCACGAACAGCTGGGCAGGCTTCTGCACCCCAGCTCCGCCAGTAAGCGGGGGCTCACTCCCCTCCTCCAGCTCAAAAGGGACCATAGTGAGGGCTAATCCGGGCACCATGTTGATTTGCTCAGAATCGTAGGAAATCGCTTGGGCAAGCAGTGCACAAAATGTCGATGCCATGTGGCTGTTTCACAGCCGTAAGCAGGCAGGGGCGCACAGACGAGGCTGGCTGGGTGACAAGGGCAGCACGTGCTGGGCCAAACCTCCCCCAATGTGCAGGAAGAGGAAGAAGCAAGAGCAGATCACGACTGCACCTCTCCAGCACTCCTGCAATGGAACTGCTTGCTGGCAGGCCAAGCTGGGGATTTCACTCCCTAGCACTTTGTTTGCGGGGAGGATTCTGGCAAGAGGTCTGCAGTGTGCAGACACACCAGACTCCCCCACTTGGGGGTTCTGCCATGGAGAACACGAGCTCTCAGATCTTAGTCCCCCAACACATGGGAAAAAAAGCCACCGATCTAATTCCACCAACCCAACCGCTACCCGCTCTACGCTCTTGTGCGATTTCAGGAAGACATCCTGATGTACAGGACAGCGAACAAACACGGGACCAAAACTCGCCAGTAGAAGAACTCTGTTCAAGCTAGTGTTGAACTCATGCCAGGGACAAAGAGGACCAAGTTGGCGAGGCAAGTTCCCGCCACCTTCTTCCACACGTGAACCTTTCAATGCAGCCATTCTTGAGTGACTTGACTGAGGGCACAGAACAAACCTGCAAGAAACCAAAAGACGGCCTGACACCCTGTCTCTTGTTCTAACCACTATGCCGGAATCTGTTCCTTCATTTGCTTAGGATCGCTGCTGGCTTCTTCCTTCCTACCCATCCTCCTGCCCCGCTGCAGGCTTACAAAAAAACCGAAAGGGACTGCTCACTTCTCTTGCGGGGACATTTTTATAGGGGCACTGTCAAATCTTGAGACTGTAGAGGGGACGTATTCCACCCTGTAAGAAGCAATCATAACAATGTGTGGGAAACGAAGCGGACTCTTGTTTACATCCAAGAAAGCTCAAATACTTTTATGCCAAACAAGCATCACTTTCTCGCCACAGAAAGCTGCGGCGAGCACTTTGGAACAGTCGCGTCCCCAGGGAGCTGCGTCCAAAGGCACAGACAGCACTCATTTTCTTGTGCGTTATTGGTTGCAGGTCTAGACTGGTGTGGTCTTTTTGTTGTAGGACGCACAAGAAGGGAGTTATTCATATTTTTCCAGCAGGCTCACAGAAGTACTCTTGTGCATCAGAGGGACTTGCATAATCAGTCTCAATCAAGTGTTTCTCTGATTTGGTGTGAACAAGAAGCCGCCTGCCAGCCGCACAGCACACACGGCCCATGCCCTCCGCAAGACATTGCTGCTAAGAGAAATTAGCGCGCACAGACCAGGGCCAGCTGGTGGCATAGAAAAACTGAGCTGTATTACTGCCAATCCATATTTTTTCCCCTGGAAACATCCATCCATACCTGCAACGTCAGGATCACAAAGAAATGCCGTGTTTTCGCTCATTTATTGCCTTCCCTGCCACTCTTAGCATGGACTGACAAGATACCCGTTTGCAGCTTTTTATAGACTGGAACTTCTACTCTCTTCACACTACTAGTAAAAAGAGTGTATTTTCCCCATTCTAAGAAGCTAAAGATTTCTTTTAACGCCCGTGTAATAGACATTTATCCGAGGATAAAATATGCACGTGCCAAAGAAAAGCAAATATTTCTTCGAGCAAGAAATAGAGTCCTTCCTTTTACCCCCCTCCCCAGTTTTAAGTTTCTCCAAGCAGCAAGAAAAGCTGCAAGCTGTGTTTATACCAACTCCTTCCTACACCCTCCCTTTTTAGAACAGCCAATATCACTGTCCAGTTCAAAATACTTCAAGCACTCATTGAAATGGCTGAGACAGGTTAGAACCGTTTCCAGGCCGAGTGGCAGTGCTGGGGAACACTGTGTGGCCCAATAAAAACATTCTTGTCACAGATAAAGAGGAGGCTCAGATTGCAAAACCAAGGGGTCAGGTCACTTAACAGGAGTTTAAGAACGTGAATCATTCGAAAGCCTTCTAAGTTTAGATTCCCAGAGCGTTCTCCGTTCGTTGTCCACCCTAGCTGCAGGGCGCATGAAAACATCTGTCCTTCCCACTGGGAGAGTAAAAACACGTCACCAAGAAAGATGTAGGGGGGAAATGGAAACAAAGACTTATTATATAGGGGAGAAGCCGAAAGCAACCATTAGACCTGCTCGCAGTGCCCCTGAAAGTAAAGGGCTTGATGTTAAATTGCAGGCCAGGGATACTCTGTGCCTTCAGGGAGGGACCTCAAAGACAAAATAAAAATAAAGCACCTTGCTAAAAAGGTGGTTACGAGCAAACTGGCGGCGCTTTCTGTAAGAACAAGCCATTTTATCCGGCTTTTCCATGGAGACCCGGGCGCACCAACGTCCTTGTGATCAGACACCCGCAAGGAAGGCGCACTGCCCTTTTGGACTGGAGACAGCTGCCCACCACACCTCCCTGGCATGAGCTGGAGAAGATCAGGGCAACACACACTGAAGCCCTTCTATCTCAGATCTCTGGGTGTAACTCAGGGAATGGATTATTGCCCTGTCAATTGTACCCCCAGATCCACCCCCACACAAGACATTTAGTTGTTTTTATTCTAATGTCCTTCCCTTCACAGGCTGATCATCCTCCATTTGGGCCTTTCCAGACATCACCTTAACCTCCTGGTCAACCTGAAGCCCAGAATCCGGGAGGTTCCTCAGTTTCGCGGATAGGCTCTTCCTTCCAAGCCTGAACCGGCTGCGGTGGCGGGCTGGCGCTACTTCCTCACCCATCCAGCCACCCATGTAACGGATCTGGGGGCGAGAGCCACTGAAGAAACAAGTGCAAAAGGCACCGCTTTATGGCTCTTTTCCTTTGCCTCTCTGGGGCACAGTTGCCAGTTACGATGCCCACAGGAGCTGCCCTCTGATGAATTTTCTCTGGCCAAGAATAAAGGGCGCTCAGGACAGTTTGTAAAAGGCAATCAGGGGAGACTTGTTTTCCAAATGCATGTAAACCCACCCTTCCTGGGGGAGCAGAGAGAGGAGACAACTGGCTTGTGAGCACCGAATCTGGTTAGGTGCGCTCCAGTGCACCCCACCTGTTACCATGTCCCCAGTTCCCACCTAAAACGTTTCCCCAAAGGCTAACGCACCAGGAAAGCCACTTACCTTCCATTCAGCACCCAGGGTGCGCCAGTCACACGAACGGGCCCCGGTCTATTCCACACAAAGGGGCAGGACGATACATCCCCAAAACGCACAGAGAGAGAGAGATTCCACGGTGGGGAGGATCCGCGGGCAGCACAGACCCCGCCGAGCCGGGTGAGGAGTTCCTAGGTAGATCCCTCCCGCGCCGGATGGGGAGCGACTCCTCTTGCCAGCCGCGGGGCGCAGAGAAGCAGCAACTCCGGCGCAGCCTGCGGGTGCTTCGGCCGATCCGCCCGTGGCCCAGCCAGCCCCGGGGGCATTTCCAAAGGACGCTGCCCGGCTCCGGCTGGAGAGGGACGCCTGTGCGCACTGCGGGCAGCCGAACCTGCCGGGGCAAAGCAGCGCGCAAAGGCGCAGCGCGCAGAGGCGCAGCGCTACCTCGCCACGGCACCGGGCGCAGGAGGAGCGCAGACTTGCGCAAGCAAGAGCCGAGCCCCGCCCCCGCCCCCCGCCCCGGGAGGGGGCCGGCGGCCCGAAGCCGGGCGCCTGTTGCACAGAGAGGGAGCGGGGTGAGGATGGAGGGTAGGTGAGCTGCAGGAGTGGAGAGGGAACCGAGTCAGGGTTTGCTCAGCAGAAGGAGCAAAGCACCTTTCTTACAGGGGGCGAAAAGGTTCCAAGTGTTCCTCCCCAAAATCGTATCCTTTTTTAAATTACATTTTGGATGCCGGCGGCCCGAAGCCGGGCGCCTGTTGCACAGAGAGGGAGCGGGGTGAGGATGGAGGGTAGGTGAGCTGCAGGAGTGGAGAGGGAACCGAGTCAGGGTTTGCTCAGCAGAAGGAGCAAAGCACCTTTCTTACAGGGGGCGAAAAGGTTCCAAGTGTTCCTCCCCAAAATCGTATCCTTTTTTAAATTACATTTTGGATTCTTTTTATTTGCCATCTGTGTGGTGCCCTGGGTTTTTTTTTTACAGCCTGTGCAGTGCCCTGGTTTTGCATTGTCATGCTTTCCTCCAGTCAGGAGAGCTAGACATTTACCTGGAGAGGCCCAATGATTCCCGTGACTCCAGCAGCTGGGGATCTAGGAAAGACACCAGATATCATGCAACAGGCAATAAAACCAGCTGACTAGATAATAATGCAAGTTCCAAGTTAAAGGGGTGTGTGCTGAATGAATTCCCTATGCCACAGAGTAACCGAGTGACCTAGGAGTCTTGGTGTGTGTGCGTGAAACTGGTTAACTACCCCATCTATTGGTTTAATTATTGATGTATTCATTAAGTCATATATTAACAGAACTAGCAATTAGCCCCACTATTGGCCTGGGTATTCATTTAGACCCCGTTGACTCCTGGAAGCATTTACACACAGGAGATGTCCACTCAGCGTCCATGGAACTACTCACAGGTATAAAATGGAGGACGTGTAAGTCTGGGTAGGATTTTTGAGAGCTTAGGGATGCATTAATTTGTATGCATCTTTGTGGATTCCTTCTGATATCATTCCAAATTTTTCTAAGGTACCGAAAAATACCTGGGTTAAGACAACTGGGTGCAGAGCAAAGGGGATGCATGTATTTATAATGCAAGGCACGCCCGCCCCAGAATGAAATGCATATATTTATAACAGAATGGAATAATACGCTTTTTATAATGCAAGATGCTCCGGCCCCAGAATGAGACCCCAGGATTGCCTGGATCGGTGATATTCGAGCAGGGGAAGGGAACCTTTTTTGGGTCGGGAGCCGCTGACCCACAGAAAAATCAGTTGAGAGCCGCACACAAGCGAGAAGCAAAGTGAGAAGCCCCTGGCTGAGAAAGAAAAAGGCCCTCTCCACATTCCCCTCACACACCAGAGCCTAGGGGGGCCCAGGTTAGTAGATTTGGTGTACTCCAGCCCTGTGAGTGGGGGGCAGAGGGCTGGAGCGCCAGCATGGGCTCCCCAATGTGGGACACACCTGTTCAGGAGACGAATTCCATTCTCTCCCGCACTGAAACGGGACTAGGAGAGGAAATGCCCTTTGGCGGCATGAGGTGGTTCTAGCCTCCTGTGTGGGGTTTTTTCCCAGGGCTAAGCCCCAGTACCTCTGGGCCTGGCCGTTCATAGCCCTGGCATCCGTTCTGAGTGTACAACCACGGTTTGAGCCCTGAGCCTCTTCGCTACACACGAAGCACAGCTTGTTCCCCGTACAAAGGTAGCCGGAAGCCCTGCAGCCCATGAAGTGGACAGCTTGGGTGCGGGATTATAGAAAGCCGGCAGAGGGACTTGATGCTGGGTGGCTAGTTCGGGTGAGGATACCCACGCCATGTATGCTGCAAAATTGTCTTAGGCACAAATTGGAAGAGCAGGGAGGAGATCTGAGGGCCAGCTGCTCAGCAGCCATTATGACTAATGTGCATGGGGCAGTGGTTTTCAAACGACAGGAGGCGACCTAGTGCTGGGGGGTGGAATGTCAGGCCCTGGGTCTCACTGCTGCAGGGGGATCAGGTGAGCAGTGGGCGGGCTGAGGCAGCTCCCTGCTTGTCCCGGCACTGCAGACTGCGCTGCGCCCCAGAAGCAGCCGGCAGCAGGCCTGGCTCCTAGTTGGGGGGAGAGCACACAGGGCTCTGTGCACTGCCCCTGCCCTGAGCACTAGCTCCACACTCCCATTGGCTAGAACCTGCTGCTGGCCACTTCTGGGCCCCAGCCTGGTCTGGGCCTTAGCCCCCCTCCTACACCCCGTCCTCAGCCACCACCCTGGAGCCCATACTCCAGTCCCATTATGGGAGGTCATCAGCCCCACCCTGGAGCCCACACTCCAGTCCCATTATGGGAGGTCGCAGCATCAGCAAGTTTCTTCAGCTGGGCCATGAGAAAACAAGTTTGAAACCCGCTGGCCTCGGGTGCCCCTCTGCCGCGAGGCTGGAGGATGGGAAGGAAGGCAGAGCAGCAGTTGAGTAGCAGCATGCCGAGGTCCTGACCTCTGTAGTGAGAGCAGGCATCTACCAACCAGCCGCCCGTCTGCACGCCACCTGCTGCAAACCCTGCTATTCCCTGGCTGGACCGCACTGCGGTTACCCAGCAGGGGAGTCTCCAGCTACGCACAGGTGGCGTGTAACCCTCCTGCACCCGAGGGGGCTGCTGAAATGGGAAGACAAATTCCGTAACAAGCCTGCCAGGAGCTGGGGAGGGGGGGAAAGGGGAAGATAGGGATGCCAGGTGCCCAGGTTTCATCTGGACTGTCCGTTATTCGGGTCCCCTGTCCTGTAAAAAAAAAAAAAAAAAGAAAATACTGGACACGTGCAATGTCCACTATTTCCTGTTTCCCTCGGAGGGAAGCCCATAGGGCATGGAAGCCCGGCGGGGACAATTTTCCCCAGCTGCGTCTGGCAGGGGTGGTGGAGTGAGGAGCACTGCGGGGACATTTAAAGGCACAGTGCTCCCCCCTTTTTTTTCTCTCATCAACTTTGGTCTCCCCCTTTTTTTTGTCCTCCACAGAATTTTTTCCTGGGGTTTTTTTTTGGTGGGGGGAGGGGAGAATGCTTGGTATTTTTTGTTAAACCATCTGGTAACTCTAGGGGAAGGGCAGGTGTTACACAATTAGACAGCAAATGTACATTCTTATTTTAGTATTGGTATAAGAATGTACATGGGGATTACGTCTACACTGGCACCCTTTTCCGGAAATGCTTAAAACGGAACAGTTTTCCGTTAGAAGTATTTCCGGAAAAAGCGCGTCTACATTGGCAGGATGCTTTTCCGGAAAAGCACTTTCCGTCATTTTCGCGATCGGGGCTTTTTTGCGGAAAACACTACTGTGCTGTCTACACTGGCCCTTTTCCGGAAAAGGTCTTTTACCCGAATGGGAGCAGCATAGTTTTTCTGGAAAAGCACTGATGATTTTACAGTAGACTGTCAGTGCTTTTCCGGAAATTCAAGGGGCCAGTGTAGACAGCTGGCAAGTTATTCCGGAAAAGCGGCTGATTTTCCGGAATAAGTGGCCAGTGTAGACACAGCCTTGCTGTATAACGATTTGCCCATGAGATCTGTAGGCTTCTACAGTATTTCACCCTTTTTCTCATGAATACACAATGCCTCAGTTACAAACCAAGCTGGTTCTTCTAGTACCTATGTCATCCTTTGTCTGGGATGCTCTTGCTCTGTCAATTTGTTGTGAGTGGAGAATGTGTGTGAAAGTCCTCAGGACGGGCCAAATGGCCCCTGATGATTGAGACCCTTGCAGATGATGAGGGAACATCCATGGTGCTGGAGGCGGGATGAAGGCTGACAGAAGTGAGCAGAATAGCCAAGCCCTGGAGACAGGCGGATGCTCCCGAAGGAGAGCCCACAAACAAGAGATAGCGAAACCTGACTAGAAATAGCAAAAGAGAACTGCAGGGAAAACACCCCAAGATTCACACATGAAGGACTGCAGCACGACACCCCAAAACACACCGGCGCCAATGAAAACTGGATTACTGTCATGCACTTTATGTCGGGCTGCCTCTAAAGAGCCTTCGGAAACTTCAACTGGTCCAGAATGCGGCTGTTCGAGTTTTAACCAACACTAGTTATACGGAGCACATTATGCCAGGGCTTTGGAGGCTGCACTGGCTTCCGGTATTTTTCCGGGCACAATTTAAGGTTTTAGTTCTGACCTATAAAGCCTTAAATGAGTTGGGTCCGGGTATCTGAAGGACCGTCTTCTCCCATACGAACCTGCCCGGGGATTGAGGTCAGCTGGGGAGGCTTTGCTTCGTGTTCCCCCACTTGTGGAGATAAGATTAACATCTACGCTGTACGGGGCATTCTCAGCTTTTGCTCCCAGGCTGTGGAATTCTCTTCCTCGAGATATTCGCATGGCGCCAACGCTAGCGTTGTTCCGGCGTCAGGCTAAAGCCACCCTTTTTACTCGTGCTTTTATTAATGTTTGAGTCTGCACGTGTGTGTTCCTCCTCTCTATGGCTACATCTACACTGGCATGAATTTCCGAAAATGCTTTTAACGGAACAGGTTGCTGGGCCCCCATGGTGAGTGTGGGGGGAGGGACCCCAGCTACTGCCTGGTGCTAGGCCCCCCACAATACCCCATCTCACGTTGCTTGGAAGGAGGGAGAAGGAGGCAGAGCAGGGACAAGGCTGGTAGAGAGGATGAGGCAGGGTGAAGCAGAGGTGGGGCCTAAGGTGGAGGGGTGCACTAGGCCCCACATCTGGGGCACTGGGGTAGGGGTTGCCCCAAGCACCCCCTGTAGAGACAGCCCTGATCAAAGGTTAAGCAGAATCATTTTTCTACCTTCTCCTTGTGACACCCTTTTAGGTACTTGAAAGCCGCGATCCAGTCCCTTCTCAGTCTTCTCTTTTCCTAACTAAACAAACCCAATTCTTTCAGCCTTCCCTCACAGCTCCTGTTTTCTAGGCCTTTCATCATCATTGCTGCTCCTCTCTGGACCTTCTCCAATTTCTCCACCTCTTTCCTGAAAGGTGGTGCCCAGAACTGGACACAAGACTCCAACTGAGGCCTAACCAGCGC